ATAATATTTTCACGTGAACTAATTTTACTCTTTATTCTCAAGAATCATGGGTAGGCATGGGACTTGTAGTTATAGGAGTAGGCTTATGCGTCAGAAGTAAAGCCGATGAACTTGCGTAATACAGGAGCTAAAATCTGTAAATACTTTAATTACTGCTTTAAACTTATTTCAAGAAGAAATATACTCTCTATTGAATTCCCATATGCCATTGATGGATTAATTTGGCTGTGATGTTTCTTCGATTCAAGGTTATCCTTAGTTTGGTCGATATGCGTATCATCTGATACGTCGTTGCTGCCTATTTGATTCTGCTGGGTATCGTCATCGATGGTGTACTTTTCTAGATCAACCCGTAGCTCAGATAGAGATATTTGTCGGCATTCAAGATTCCATTTATCCAGTAGATACTGAATAGAGCGCTTTGAACTTTGGGTGATAAAGAAATCATAAATATTTGTTACCAATTTTTTCTGTAAGAATGCTAAACCAGTTACCTTCTTTCTTGGTAAGTAGTCAAAAATTTCGCTTCTGGTGAATGATATGCTAGTATGTATGATATTGTTCCAAGAATATCCTCAAAGTCTATTCCATATAATGTTATTAACTGAATCATAACAAAAAACAGACAGACTTCAAACAAAAAGACTCGTACCTTTAGGATCATAAAAGGTATCACTACCTAGTAACCAGTCAATCTTTCGGCCCCATAATGTCTCTATATCATCCAAAAGTACAGACAGACAATCTTTGTCATTGGCAAATTCACCCCATGTTAATCCCCGTACCCAGATTCTTGATTTTCGTTTCTCATTTTCTGAGTCATTATAATCAGACACAGTATCTGTTGTGTCATGAAAGAATGGTATGTTCAAAAGGACGCTATTCTTGATATTTTGTAAGACCAAAAGAAAGTTTGATCTGTCCGTGAGAACTGTGTGGTTTGTAGGAGATAAGGATGTACAGAGAAGTCCAGGAAGGGATGTGCCTGCTCCGAGCTGTCAATATGAGTTGGAAACTGCTCTTGGCCAGATTTTATTGGTAAAAATCAATTAGTAACTTGGGTTGCTTACTTCAAGCACTGCTTTTCCCTGAAAGTCTCTCCGTTTGTACCAAATATATTCTGCGAGCACGAATGCGGATGGCCATACATAACATCCGTAGGATGGATCAAGTAACTGTCTCGAGATTATAATACTAATGTGACTGTGTCGTAAATCGCAAATGATCAGAGACTTAAAGATCTACCTCATTTATCGTTATCGTCCTTTCGTTCCCGTCGTCCTTACTGCCAAAACTGAAAGACTTGATGTTAGATGTTCCCATGAAAAAGAAAGTTCCCACACAAGACTGTGACACTCAAAGTTAACAAATGGAATTCACATAGATCAATTATATTCCACGTATCCTAAGTAATAACTGAAAAGATTTTTATTAAATTCTGCTTCCAAATTTCTCCAAGAACGGAAAATACAATAAATAGTCAAAGTGGAAATCCTACATTTGATTACTAATAATAATAATAATAATAATAATAATAACTACGATAGTACACCCTTCTATTTCTAACATATACTAATTATATATCATTTTGTCATCATGTTAAAACCTTCAGTAAAGGAACATTCACCAGCTCTCGCCTCTCTTTTGTTCAGAAATGCGAATGGTATTAAACCAGGAAAAGTAGAGGGTTTGAGTGGGCCTGCTATTGTGCATCACCACACCGAATACTAAAAATCAGCTTGGATTTTCTCTCTTGATTCGTTCAGAAGAAACTTTTCCTTGTCAATCGACCCCACAAATCCGATACTAAGTTCATGACATCCCAGTTTTCCACAACTTCTGTTTCCTTAAACTGCCTGGCCCTACCTCTTTCACCAACTGCTCTCTCATACAGCTCCTCTGCATCTGGTAATGCAGCAATCAAATACTTTGCCCGTTCTTCATCTAAAGGATGAGTTGAAAAATAAGAATCTAACGATTTCAGTACTTCATTTGCATAATCTTCCTCGTCAACAAGGGTCGATTCAAACCCAATATCATTCGAATTTGATGTTGCTGCAGAATTATGAGATTTTGCAGCAGAAAGAGACCAGAGTTCAACAGCTTTGTTGGGATTATAACCAGCTAATGCGAGTAGTTGCATACCGACTAGATCAGCTTCCCTTTCTTGTTTTTGACTGTAGCGTGGACCGAATAACGAGTGGACGAAACCCTCAGCTACAGACGAAATGTAATCGTTTATAAATGGTCCCAATGGTACGAGAAATGGCCAGAAAACTGTGCGAAAAGCGTCTTTTGGGTAGATTCGTAACAGAAAAGTTTGAATTGTAACAAAGTCAATGTAAAGTAAGAAGCAATGAAAAGAAAATTATTAGAAATACTACAACACTCGTTCAAAATTCGTCTACCTGCTACCGTCACTATGACTTGAGAGAATCCCAAAAATTCACTTGAGTGTCTTTGTAATATATGTGCCATCTCATGTGCAAGAGTTGTTGCAAGGTAATCTTCGTTATAGTTGATAAATTTTAACCAACCTTTATCAAATAGGACCAGAGTTCCAGAGAATTAATTAACAAAACCTTATACTAACGATAGCACAAAACCGTTTCTCATTTCCAACAACTACATGACCATATCGTTTTACTCCACACATCAGCACTAAATACCTGTATAAACGATAATCCTTCTTGTAGCTCCAAAGGCACACGCGTTCACTATATTGTCATCATCAATAACATAAATATGAAATGGCCTCGCTTCGTCAATATGATTCGCACTCGCTTCATCCGTCTCATTGTCTTTAAAGTTCGTTTTTAATTTAATCAACTCTTTTGTCTGTTTCCTCGGGTACAAGTCTTTGTTTACTTCATTAATGCCATAACCATTCTTTCCGTTTCCTACATTCTCATTATTGATGTCAACATTTCCAAAATTTTCATTTTCTATATCGGCATTGTTATTCTTTTTAATACTAACGTTTCGTAACCGATTCATCTTATCGTCTAATCCAGTCACTAAATTCACGGCAACATGAAGAACGAACATGGCATCTTTCTTATCCAGTCCGACAACTCTATCTGTACAATTTGCTATTTCTCTCATAAACGCCTCATGACATAGGGCGTATTCCTCTTCTTCGTTCATGAACGATACCCTCCATCTATTTGTATGTGGTGCTTGTTCTAGCCCAGAGAGTAATGTAATTGTAAATCCGGTAACGGGAATTATCGTGGATAAACCGAGAAGAATGCGCCGTTTTCGAGGTGAGAGCCTTTTGGAACGAAGAGCTAAGGGAAGAAAAGAAAGGAAAAAGTTGGAGAGTATTCGAAGCGAGGCAGCACCAGTAGTAGATTTGAATATGAGAAGAAATGCTGGCGGGCCTTTGGCCGGAGGTGTTATGTGGAAAGAACGAGAGAAGTGTGAAGGTAGGGAAAGTTTTACGAGGGCATGTTTAGGAAGAGGGGAATAAGAACGAGGACGACTTATGGTCGTAAAGGAAAGTGTGGTGCCGCATACGTGAGAAATTCTTGTAGCTAGGCGTAGGGGTTGTCTAATATTCATACTAATAAATATCAATACAGAATTAGTCACGACACGCGTTAAAATACCAAGGGAATGCAATATATTAGTGTTCCGAAAGCGTACATATACTAATACTAATTACTGTTACCGCAGCAGTCATATGACATCAACCGGAGATCCCGATTATCCGCAAAACGCATTGACATGTGTTTGTACGTTTTAGGCAGTCCATTTAGGGCGGAGAATCAATTCTCCATACGTTGAGAAATTAGCAGGTAGATGTTCACTATCTTTTAGTATTATACCATCTACGTTGATGAGCGAAGTTCTAGATCGAAGTCGTTCTGGTACGATTTCGCGCCTTTATTCATCACCCTAGTATGTTAGGATTATATCTCACCAAGCACAGATTTCACGTCTGTCTTTTGGCGTTGACAGATAGTCTTGAGTATTCTCTGAGTAATTGTGGACTCCCCATCCAGTTTGTTAATAATGACTAATAACAACAGTAAAAAAAGTCTGGTGAAACATGCAAATGACACATTTCCTTCCGTTTACCATTACCCTCTGTATGTTCGACGCTTCTATTCATCAAGCTTGTTATATTATACTTAATGGTATCTTTGTCCAAGAACCTCACATGCCAGAGCCTGATCTTGTGTTACTTTAGATGATTCCGACATTTTAAATGATGCGTCATAAAAGTACATTTACATGACGCGATTGGGCAAGTTACACGTTACCAAAAATGCGTAATAATCTTCCAATTCGTTAATATTAACACAATGGATCTCTATAATTGTTGATTGTCTAATATCATACGGTGATATTCTTAAAGAATGCATCATTCCTAAATGTCATTATCAGATCTTCTTCACTAATATTGAGCCTAATAATAGTGCGAATGTCTATACTATTACCATTGGTCTCGATTAACATCAGTGATGCTAATATAGAACAGATGCTTAATAAGTCATTCACAGACAGTGTTTCGATGTTGTGCAGCCGACTCATTTGATTGTGTTGTGCGATGACCTACAACAACATAAGCACGAAACTTAGTATGGAAATCCAACTTAATGGCTAACACTCGGATTTGTTATTGTACGCGTACTTGGCTATCGCTTTAGTTTATCTATCAATATTAAATACCTCGCCAAGTTCGACTTCAGCCAATCCCGTGACTCGCGTGCGTTGTAGCAATGACCATAAGAATATCTTCTGATGTATGGACGCATTACTAACGAATGCAATCGTCGGTGATGACGACATCTCCTTTACCACCTGCTCAATGATACCGATTGTAACTTGCGCGTTAGATTTAGAGTGTTCCCGTGACGTCTTCTTGGATTCTATTATCTCGACGGCACGTCTACGGAATGAACAACATGCATCATGAACAACAGCATAATACAACTGGTTAGCTTACGTTCAATAATGTTCAATCATATAACCAATACTCACCGGCAGATCTCTAATGCTCTCCTTGCATCTCCAGACACAGCGCTAACCTTTCTTGCCGCATATTCAACTGCATCTTTATTGAATACACCCATACCCTTCAATCGAGATTGAACTACTATCATCAACTGCTGGAACGCATATGGTTGGAAATTAACACGATTAAGACCTAGCGGGAATTGATGAGTATTAGAAATTATACATTATTTCACAAATAACGTTGATAGATCCCAATAGTAATTGTATTCAAATAAAGATGGTATCCTGATCCCATACCTAACCTGCTTGACACTCGGTTAGTCAATATTCTCTCGGGAAGATCCATCGTGTTGGCTACAGCGATTACTACCAGTCGCGAACACGGTAGGCTTGGCCAATTAAATAAATTATACATAACTCTCTGATTTTTCGTCACTAGCAAATCGAGTTCATCCATCATCAAAACACTTGGAGAGAATTAGTTGACGTTTAAGCATACCTATCTACTCAATATGTAGAAAACATTCATTTACCACATTGATTCGCTCTTCTTGTCTGAATTAAAAGTGTGTTCTAACAACGAGCATGCATGCGATGCGGTTACTTTTTTTCCTGTCATAGCCTGCCACAGGTGAACATAGGCTTGAGTGGGATCGGTTAGTTTCATTCCATTTAATTGAGCATATTGGAAAGGGGGAAGTGACTGTAAGGTGAGAAAATAAAACATCCGACATGGATTAATTCATTATCTTCTATGTAACAAGAAATATTATCGAGGTCTATGCTTACCTCATTCGCGACCTTTTTCTGCAGACTCCTTATCACTTCGTTTACCGTAACTGTTTTACCCGAGCCAGGAACGCCCGAGACATCTATATTTTTAACATTGATTGCATCTCGTCAGGTCTCAAAATAATATTATAATAACTGATTACACTCCACACGACCAGCAATCGTTCTCGCCCAGACTTTCCAAACCTACAAACACAACATCCCATCTGCTCTTTGATTGCAGACTCGACATATCCCATAATCATATTAAATTCGTTCTCACGACAGGGAAGTGAATCTGGGTTTGACGAGGGTGCCAGTCGTTCGCGGGCGCATTGATAGGTGTTTGACTGTGTGTGTACGATCGATGGAATCAGAACTTCTACTTGAATTGAGTCTGCTTTCCTGAGTGGCGACAAATCAGTACATTACTTGTGAGGAAGGGCAGAAATGTGACACTTTTAAAAAGTCAGACTGGTCGACTTGATTTATGAAGTCATAGTCGTTAGACACGCGTACTAAGGGCACAAAGGGTATTACACTTACTTCGTGTTATTACGCGAGTACGGTTTGGTCTGGCGATAGTTTAATTTATTACTCCGTATCCGTTGTACGGGCTGTGTTAGTGAGTATGATACCGTCCGTGAGCGTAGTGAGCGGGTTGTGACCATTGCTATAATATGTCGCGAGAATGGATGTAACGTCGCCAATACATCGTTTTGTGATCACATGAATAAGCGATCATTTAATTTGTCACTGATATAAATCATAGAGTTATACAACAAATATATGTTTATTATTATGCTTTCAGTCTGCAATAATGATAAAGGTAAGACATATTCGGGATGTTTCAATTTTTTACTAACTTAAAACTAATTTATTGTGTATATTGACGTGTTAGTCAATCAACGCGGCTTTATACAACTTAGAAGTCATCGAATAATTGGACTTTGTTATTCCATGCCAATATAATGCTTTAATAAATATGGACAGTTTTGCACTTGCTTAGTTTTGATTTCCAATTGGGCATGATAATCATAACGATAAGAATTCTCCGATTCAAACAATTATTACCTCACAACAGTTACGTTAGTAACGTTTTCTTTTTTCATTGATAGAATGCCTTGGATGACCAGTCTATGATTTGGGAATAGTAAGACGGCTGGTGCTTTCTGGGCCACTGTCTTACGGAAACGCCAATTAATCTTTGTAAAGCAAATGACTGTTAAGAGGCGCATCTATATCGCACCTCTTCATATTTACAAGTTTTGGATCTGATACCTTTTCTGCCTTTGCACTTACGAACATTGGAATGCTAGACTAACAATTCGATAAAGATCGCGTATTTCTAGTGTTTGTACGATTTCACAGTTTAATTTTTGACAACTATAGATTTACCTTATGATTTAGGTATGAAATGCTCTATTAATGAATAAATCTTATTATTACTGACCTTCCTGGCCATCATTTCTGTAAATTCTCCTTCTAACACTATCAAAAAGATTCTCTAATTTTAGATCACAGGTTAAACACCCACATTCGCTTCCCGTTGACACGCATATTTTAGGATTATACAAGACCAAGTTTAGTAGTAATACACAGCACAGCCTTTATTTGACGAATCATTTTCTTACAACTTACTAATATCACTGTCCACGGCCTTGGTTTTGTTGACCAGGAGGAGGACGCATTGATGGAGGAGGTCGTCCGAATCCTTGTGGTGGCGCTTGCCCAGGTACAGGAAAACTGATATTAAAATGAAAATGGAAATGGTAAATATTTAATCCACGGATAAAGGTGTGATAATATAAAGAAGATAATTACGCTGACATTCCTCGGCCACCACCAGGTGGTGGGAACTGTTGTGGAGCACCAGGCTAAATTCAAAGGAATCACTGTTAGTACATTTACTCATTACTGGTCAATGTCATCATTCACAAGACAAATTCCTATTCACTCTGCGGCTAAATTTCAACCAAAATCAATTACTTACCACTCCCCCCATGGATCGCATTCCTGGAGGTGGAGCACCGCCCTGTGGCCTAAATCCAGGCATTCCCACAGGTGGCATTCCTGGTGGCATTCCAGGCCTGAATCCAAGAGGAGGCCCACCCGGCATCCCCGGTCTCGGTGGCATTCCTGGCGGGGGCATTCCCGGGGGCGGCATCTGCCCTGGCATGGGTGGTCTGCCGTATGATACTGGTGCCGCCGCTGCAGCAAGAGGTGCTGGACCTCTTGGTTGCATCATTCCTGGTGCTGGGCCTCCAACTCCGCGTACTGGACCTGTAAGACCTATTTTGGACGTTAAATATAAGAGTTGATTAAAATGGTTCGAGGAAGAAGAAAAAATATATAGAATGTTGTGCTAGAATCATCGTCAAACACTTGACTACAGCTATATAGGATTACATAATACAAGGGAAATAACAATAATGCTATACCTGCAGGCGCTACTCCTGGCGGAGCAACAGGCAGTCCTCTACCAGTTGGCCGACCAACACCTGGACCACCAGGAAGCTGAATATTTGCAAATCAATATTAACACGATTCCATCTTACAAAACACAAGATTTTGTTAACGCAACGAATCGTACGTACCTGTGCCAACTTTCCTTTTGACTCATCGGCACTGGGCGGTGGCGGTCCCTCGACACTCAAACTGACGATAGTCTCTCCCCTCAAAATCACCAATCCCAATGTCCGTTTCTCTTCTTGCTCAGGTTGTCCCTGTGGTACTTTCGATCCTGACTTTGGCTTGATCTTTCGAAATTCTTCGCAATCTGCTAATACTAGATTCATATGCTTATCAAAGGCAAGCATCTGACCCGTCAATACTCGCGAATCAATCAGTGTGATTCGTAGACGGTAGTTAATCAGATTAAGCATTTTAGAGTTCTTTGAGATCGACTATGTGAAGACGGACAAATGATGAGTGAGAAGACTGTGGAGAGTGAACGGAAGGCAAGTTTGGAAAACGAATACTACTGTCTATATAAAGAACGACATTCTATTCTATAGCGAAGTACCAGTAATCTGCAGTTTAGTAATAAATTTCAAGTCAATAACATATTGCAATCCGTCATAATTTGCACCAGAGATCTGCCAAGCTGCACCCACAGATCTATACGCGTATACAGTAATCTCCAGATCTTCCATAAACTACGTACCATTTTGGCAGTCTAGTTGTAAACACTATACACATAACGGAGTAAGCTGGACTGGATAACAATAGCGAGCTCTTTAATCTATATGCTCGCTCGCTAAGATAAAGAGAGACTTCTGCTGGGCACTGACAATTTGCAAGCTGCGCGTAACTCTTTAAAACTAAAAAATTTGCATATTGATAACAGTCACGTGTATCCCGTACCAATTAGATTTGACTCGAGCATAATTCAATAATTGTCAAATTTTATTTTTGAATAAAAAAGATATATAATAATGGGTTATGATTAACATTCAGCTAATCTCTTCTCGGAATTAAATTCATTAATAACCTCTTCCACTTTTCTCTCGAACCAATGCTGCACATTCTGATCGGCAATAGGAATAAATGGCCCTGGTGTGCCATTTCTCAACATCAGCAAAATTCCTGACGGTTGCATTGAAACCGCCTGAAGATCCGAAAATTGCACTTCCCATTCTACTTTCAATCGCCTACTCCTAATAAGCATTATTCGTGATCGAGTAAGCATTGCTATCGTATCATCGCCTTTGAGCTCAATATGAGCAAGGTAATCATCATTAAAGTATTTGCCGTTTTCGAGTTCTTTAAGCATTCGTTGGCCGACAGCCTCACGGCAATTGTAAGGTTTTAATATACCATCGCGCCCAACAAATCGAGGCGGTCGAACTGGAGTTAGTTCACCTTCGTCAAATACAACTGTTGTGTTTCGAATACCTTGTGTCGAGAAAAAAAAAGATTAATTAGAAATGTTGATGCAAAGTCTGTCAGCATTATTGAAAGTAAGATATATGACGTACCTGCAGTAACATTACTCGCCAAATCAAATACACCGACAACTGGTTTAGTAACAAACCTATATCACAAATGCATCGTAATTTAATAAGTCAATATCCTAATCACAGAACCCAAATGTATTCAACCATCAAACCCACGCTCCCCAAAAAACTTACCCAACAAGTCCTTTTCCAACACCCTTCAACAATCCAGTAGCTCCTTCTTTCTCAGCACCTTCGATCGGCTTCCTAACCAATCCTTCAATGCCACTTCCAACACTAGTTGCAAGCGCATTTGCCCCTTGGGTGATGCCATAGAGTGCGTGTTTGGGGCGATTTCGGAATTGTGCCATACGGCGACTATCTTGATAGGATTTATCTAATGTCGCAGCAGAGAGTCCTTTCCCGATACTACCGGTAAATTTGGCAACGCTATCAGAGAGACCATAGACGGTTTTCTTTACAAAGCTGAGACCTCCCTATAATTAAGGTGAAGAGCAAATGTGGGGTAGGTGGGTTAGGTGAGTAATAGTTTGATATAAACAATAGCCCTGCGAGGAGGCTAGACGACAATTGCTATATCATAGTTACTAAGTATATATAGTAATTAATGAACGAGAGCAATGATTACTTCACACTCCATTCTGATATCTTGTCATCCTCTTACTTACCCTCGCAATTCCAAACCCGAGCTCGTTCGGCCCACTCATAACAACTCCGTGATATGGTTCGTAAAATACATCCATCACACCAGAACTGATATTAGTAAACAGTCCAACTGGATTGCCCAAGAAATCTGCCGATCCAATGATTTTATGGATTTGGTAGAGGAATTCTTGGCCATAATGTCGACGAATGCGGTCGATGAGTACTGGAAGGCTAACGCGCACATTTTCCATCGCTAAAGCGTTTAGTTTTATTGGAGCATCCTGAGGAAAAGATGAAAATAGAAGAATTTCGATAAATCTGTTTTAACTTTATTCGAAAATCGTGCAATAATGTAGGCCCCGGATACTCACATTAATGTTTCCAATGGCCATCGTCAGTATATTGAAGAAGAACGTTATTGGATTCCGTGGCGGAGGTCTATAATCAAAGTCAAGGACCATAAAAAGCACGAACGCGAACGCCATACTCTCTTCAATACACACATATATACAACTAACTATTCGTTTAACTGCCAGTACGTCTGCATTAAACTTCCTTCACACGCTATTGTTTAAAAGGATACTTATCCTCAACGTTAACCCTTTCGGTTCTCACGAAAGATATGTTAATCTTCATTGGCTGAATATGCATTATCTCAGAATAATATTGTGCATCTCCCTCCATAGACTTTGGTTCCGGAACATCCATATTTCCGTCAAACAGCTGCAGATCATCCTCTTCTTCAGTGGTTAATCCCCTTAGTTTCATGAACTCCAGTAATGCAAATAAGAAATCTTCATCCATTTCAAAAGTCATTTCTTGCAACAGCATTGAAAAGTATTTAAAGTATACGACGCCGTGAGATTCATCTTTCGATTTGATAAGAGTGGCGTTAAAGGTAGGATGGGCTTCGATTTCTTTGCCTTCTTTAGGTATAACTGTTGGGTAAAAGATGATTGGGTACAGACCACCATAGAGCTGATTGTCAATCTGGTTGGGAAAAATTATAAGTAGAAAAGAATACGTATAAATTGTGGATTATATCTATTTGACGTACTGTAAATCTAGCTTAATTGCATTTCGGTAGTATTAATAAGTACAGCATCTTAAATTATACTATCTTATTACCTGTAACCATTTTACTACAAAATTTAATGACTGATAGAGCGTGGAATCACTGTACGAAAACTCCAAACCACGTAGTAATATGTAAGACAGTTCCTGTTAACGAAAAAGAGGTTTCTGCATTAGATGACGGTTATCGCTCTAGAGTGAACTAAGCATAGAAATACACTCACTTGCATTCTCTTGTTAATGACAGAAATTCCAATTCCCTCTAGTCTGATTTGGAAGTTGAGACTAGTTACAGAATCAACATCTATCTAAATGCAGATAAATAATTGTCAGGAAATACGCATGGTGCAACTTGGTACTCAACGCTCCTTATGTTGTGAGCTCTGTCATCCGGCATATATCACACCGTTACCCAGACTTACAATTTCAAAGGCATCCTTCGCACTACCATTCTCACTTTTCGCGACTGACGCTACTGATGCAGGACGGGGCTTGTACATGCTTTTTGACTGCTTATAATTACTAAGCAGTAATACCTGCGTGGGACCATCTGCAGCGACTTCGAGGGAGAGTATACGAACTCCATCGGGACGCTGTTAAGGATAGCTAGTTTAATTATGTGGCATCTCTTTACATCAGAAGATTACATATCAGATCAGCTTACCGGAACCTTGAACGGAACAAGAGTTCCAATTTCTTGTATGTTGACTGTTCGCTCCGTGCCATTGACATTGAGAATCAATCTTTTTTCCTTCAATGCTGGAAAATCCCACGAATATACTTCTGAACTGCCTGCTGGGAGACCATATTTCTTGAGTGCATAGAGACTTGCGCTGGAGCCTGACTCGCGGCGATCAGGAGTCTTAAGTTTTGTTGTTGTTGTTGTTTGTTTTTTTTTTTTTTTGAGTTAATATTAAAATAAAAATAAATAACTTGAAGAATAATTCTCACATTACCGAAACGCCTTTGTCACTTACTTGTTGATAGAATACAACATCCACGTCGGAGTAATTATCTATTCTATATGGCCATTTTCCTTCTTCTTTGTTAAGGATTAGAAAAACGGTCGCTTGCTCCAATAGAATTTCAATTCTCAGTAAATGAATTTCTCTATCGGCCTTTGCAACTTTTAGATGTATTCTTCCGATATCATTAATGTTAATTGGCGCAGACCTATTCATAGATCAAAGTATAGAGCACTTCAATATCCGACACCACAGGATCACATCCCTATAACCTTTTTCAATAACGAACACTCACCATGGGTTTCCATTCCCAGCATACGAGAAACAGAGCTGCTTCACGTCTCCCCTATGTAAGAAATGTAGAGGTGCTCTATCTTTTGACTTCAATAAAATTGTATTATTGGAATACACGTCTCGGAAATCGATATCTTCGTTAAGATTGTTTTTGAGGATGAAACGCGGAGTGAATGTTACGACTTTTATCAATTTATACTTCATAGTAGCGAAAGAAAAAAAGGGTTAGTAGGTGATACTAGTCCCAAGTATGCACGTATATTTTACTTGGTAATTAATAATTAATATCATAAACTGAGTATGACGACAACTTACTTTCGAATGTCCCTCTTCGATGCTAACGCCAATGTGTATCTCATCATCTCGCGATTGAGAAGGTATTACTACTTCCATAACACTCCCAACAGCCTCAAAACTTAAAGGCTATTTAAATTCAATAAAGAAGTATTAATCGTAAATGTGTTATAGAATAATAAGCCATCACATTCGTCAAGAACATACATTACTCCAGTCCGAATCTCCAACTTTAAGTAATGCTCGATTTCTTGTTTCATCACTCGGGTAAGAGAACATATAGGGCTTGACCTGTAAAGTTAGATAAAGAGCCGGATGAATAAAAGGTTGTTCCGAATAAATATGGATAGGAACGAACTTTTTTCAATACATTTCAGTAAATAAAAAATTTAAATAATCATTAAGGGTTGGGCGTTTACGGACCGTTTGATTCCTACGCCGTCCGGATAGCCATCCTGCAAGATGAAAATGGTGAGTATCGCGCTAGTAATAATGGGCGTTTACATTGAATTTTACCTTGACCAGCAGCAATCTTAGCATTCTGGAAGAGTGACTTGCTCTTAAACGTCATATCTAGACCTGTTTTATTCATCATCACATGTGGGCTATAAATACTAAATTTGAAGGCTCCTCCTGAGTTCGGAATCTCGCTGAATAAAGTAATAAAGTTGTATGAGTTAGTGGCTAGTTGAGATAACGAAACACAGCTGTGAAAGTACAAAATTTTTCGCGGTCTTCAGCTTACGTATAGTGTATTTTAAGATTTAGCTTCAATCCCTCTGGATCCTCGACTGTAAGGGTGCTATCTACGTGATAGTCTTCATTTGGAGAGCTAATAATTGCAAATTCGGATGGTTTATATTCTATAAAAAGACATCAGTTAATGGTTGCATTGACTTCGAATAAATTTCAAATCAAGTCCTCTCAATTATTTAATAATTCATTATTATCGATTCTTTCTCTCATACCCCCAGCCTATTCTACTACCACGTACCAGTGTCCGATATCTCAATACTCAAAAGTAACAAATGTCCCAATTCAATTAAATGCAATGCGGTACTTCCTCCCTTGCTTAAAGAGTTATTCGGCCAATCGTGTTTGGTTGTCTTATCATAAACACGGAACTTGACATCATATGGAAGAAGATTTTCTATCTCTATTGGCGCAGACAGGCGAATTGACATGCATGGATATGTCCTGTAAACAAGAAAAAAGAACCCCATGATAAAGAGGATATAGTCAGATGGTAATAACAAAACCAAAGATCTGGCTTGCTTAATACTTATTGTATATTTACATGGTGCGTGGGTCGTTCTTTTTATATTTTGCAAATATTTGGAATCTAAATGGGACATCTTCACCGGTAGATGCGCATGAAATAGACTTGATTGTATCTTTTTTGATAAAGTCTTGCCAGTATAGGCTCTGAGAACTCCAATCATAGCCAAAACCGCCTTATAAACAACAGAAGCTCAGAATGGTGCAAATAGAGTAGAATAAATACAATGACATATTAGAATCGAGACCAACTATTTACCTTCGGGTCGGAATTTCAGCCGATGATGATATGAAGATTCAAAAGGCACAGGACAATCATCATTTGGTCCTGTACAAAAGAATATTTATGTGAGCATTCAACCATGAATAATTGCCATCGGAAGATAAAATCATTAGGGTTCAGTATTAAATACCCAATCTTCCTAAATTATGCCTGAAACACGTCATTACTTACCAATGTGATAAATATCCGACACTTGCTTCCCATTTGCATCAACAATCATCATTTCTACATTTAACATGGTCCTATTCTCCACAACCAACGCTGATCTGAAAGTCACTACTTTAATATTATCATTCAACTTGATGTCGACCACCAGACGATGCGATACATCTCTCAGTTTTGGACGGAGTATGTAGAATGTTTCGCCTTCACGATCGACAGGAATGTCCTTTATACTTTCCCAGTTTGAGCCTTCGAATTGAAGTCCAAGCATGTTCTTGGTCGACGAAGGGGAAGGAAGACTCTTCAAATGGTAGACAGGTACGATTGATCAGAATTCGAATATAATTTATCATGTGTTTTTGGGACATGTATAATTACCTCTCTTTCAATTCTCCAGTCATCAAAACGCCAGTTGACCTCCCCGCCATCTTCGAGTATACGTATCTCTGTATCAGTATTATCGTCACTTGATATTTTCCATACGTGCATGCTATATCCTGTTCTATTGACCAATTTATAAGGAGTTCGTGATTCTCTTGCTGTGCTCAACACATGCTACAGAAGGAATTATTAAGGTTGAGACAAACGTGCAGGATAACAGATTTCAGTTATTCGTATCATTCATCTAAACAGACCTCCTTTTCACGTTTAAAAATAGAAAGCGTGGTCAACATCGTCTCGATGAATATGTGGGTTATGTTAATTTCCAGTCGTTTCTTTGAGAATATTTCGATCTCCATGCTTTCCGGATTAAGATTCTTGGATACCTATTTATAAAGGTTAATGGTATCGTTATCAATTATACTAAGGGATATTCAATCTTTAGTTTATTACTTGTAATTTATAATGCCATGGTTCGATCAAGGGCTCCCAGTGCGAATTAGTCAGATTGAAGTAATTGATGTAAGTCTCCAAAACAGAGTCTACTGTCATCTAAAAAAAGACAAACACAAGAAAACGGTACCACATGAGAAAAAAAAAATAGACTCTAACATGCAGAAAACAAAAATAAAAACTTTCATTACCTTGGATGACCAATCATTTACATTGACAGTGAACCCCTTTGCATTCATATCAATCATTGGAATATTATGTTCATCTCCGATCAGAATCAATTTCAATCCCTGAAATCCAGCCTTTAATGATTCCCTAACTAACTCCACTTTTCTCTCCTTTTCCTTCCATTCTTTTTCCTTTTCCTTAATTGTATTTTGTATATTATTGTAATCAAAATTCAACATTCCCTCCTTCTCATCTGTGACCTCTTTATTCTTTGCAGATGACGACTGAGATGATAATTCTGATATCTTATTCAAAATAGACATTAGTAGCATAACGTCTCTGTAAGACATTCGCATAATCAACGGTCCAACATCAATCATAATGCTGGTTGATCGACTATACTCGGTCGATGGATTATTGTCAACTGTGAGCGAAACCCTAAAGTTGTCGATAAATCGTAATAACGTAGCATCTCGTTTATCCATACGACATAAAAACATGCCTATTTCATCAATTGATAATGCCATTATACTCTGTTGTGTGACTACTATCTGATTTGCAGAAAGAACGACTGCTTCCGTGCTTTCGATTTGTGGGTTGGCAAGTAGAATTATTTCTGCAGATTTCAAATTTACACGATAGCTAAGCGTTGTCGACCGAGGTGCAGAAGAAGTGGACTGATTAGACGGACGAGACGGTTTAGAAGGCGGAGTTGGTGCTGTCTCTTCTGGTGAATCAAGTATTTGCTTGTGTTGCGTTGAACTATTATTATCTGATACAAACGGACTCAGGAAGAAGTCTTTAAGCGCAAATAGATAATCGAGAGCAAATATCACTTTGGGACTATCAATTGTAACTAATGCAATAATATTACGTTCTGCGTCGCCTGACATGTTTAGACTAACTAGAAACTGCGGCTCATCCTTATTGATAGCAGGTAATATCTCTCTGAATACATTCTTAATGTTAGGTCTAGTATCACTCAAGGTCACCGACTGAAGTCGCAATTCCGCATCAATAGCGCCGTCAGTGAGTATTTTACATCTGAAGTCGGTCTTGTTCAGCGAAAACTTTGATAAACTTTTCCTGTCCGAAGAATCCGCTTGCGATTCATCACTATTAAATATCTCAAGATATATTTGATTAACATTAAACGTTACGGACAGTTTTGGTTCAGGATTATCTGAAGGTGCTGCAACAGTGAGAGGTACGACTACTGGTGAAGACGGCACAGGCATAGACTCGACAGTTCCATCACGTGCGCTTATCGACGGTCTGTTACTATCTTCAACTGCTTCACCTCCACTAAACGCACGAGCGAATGAATTCGACAGCTCAAACAAGACCTTGTACTGCTTCTCAGTTAATTTCATCTTGACATCAGACATATGTCCAGTTATTTCCATATCAGGTCTATTCGACCCCTCCACATGTTGAGAATACTGTACTTTGAAGGCAATATCAACATCATCGATAATCTGCAGTTCTTGTTCGTTTCCACTGTCAGAGAAAAAGTTTGAAGTCAAACGAATGTCTTTGATTCCGGCTGTAATTCGTGTCAAGTATCCACTCCCGTCAGAGTTGTTAACAAATTCATTCAATGCGGAAAATTCACCTAAATTAGCAACAACACTGTCCTTAGACATGCACCTCGGAAATTCGACATTAGGAGAACGTATTACAATATCAAAATGAAACTTCTGCACTTCCTTCTGCAATTGCGCGGCCTGTTCGACCGCAGCCCGACGAGCAGAATCATATAATCCTTTCATCTGCGCAAATTTACTTCCGAATTCAACCAACAATCTAACTGGTTCCTCGAGAAAAGTGAGTCTAGCTGACCCAGCGTGAAGATATACTGACGAATCGTATCCGGGATAACCTGGTTCGCTTTCGTCAAATGTTTCATATCGGAAATCGGCCAAGTCCTCATCTTGAATGGTTAGCAATCGGCGGAACGAGTCGACGTCAGGTGAGCTGTTAGTATCATCGAGTAAAGAAAAGTTGCCCAAGCGGGCACCGACGCGTAGAGTGTCTTTGCGCAACATTACGGCTACGTCTGCTCGCTCCAGCGAGCCAGTGGCTAAGCGTGTTCCGTCGTTGTTGAGTATAAATACAATACTACTCATTTGGACTTTAACTCGCATTGTACTTGCTTGTTTCCGAGGTTTTCGTTGTTTTTGTATATCTTGTGATTCAGTGTTCGTTGGAGTGCTAACAGCCGGAGAATTATTTGGCGTAGTAAACGTATCAAGAACGAAATCCAAAAGCGTTAATATACTCTTCCTAGTTACAACAATCGTAATAGTCCTCAATACAACATCCACACTCTGATCAATCCCTTCAAATCTCGACATATATTCCGGATGCTGCGGATCCACCTTTGTATATTTAACATGAACCAAATTTCCCCCATCACTCTTTCCGTCTGCTTCCCCTCCTTTCGATGAAACAATATGCTTGAATTCAGATCCCGTTTCAGTAATTTTATCTTCGATAATGAAAGACTCCAATGTGACTTCGGCAGATATCTCGACTGGGCGGAGGATAAAGCTAAGAGCAAAGTGTTCGAGCAGCATGTCGGCAAGAACAGTTTCAGGTTTTTCATAATCTTTATCGGATTTTTTGAGATAGGCGCTTACTTTTTCGACTTCAAATTTGAATTCGAATAGGCGTTGGTGTAGTTTTGCGGATTGAGGAATTTCACTTTCAACAGCATCAAAAAACTCGTCAGTATTGTCTTCTGCTTTGTTTTCACCTTCGCCATCACTCTCACTATCAATCAAAAGATCCGCTAATCCTCGGCCCAAGCCAAACTTTTCCGAAATTGCCATAGAGTTCCTGTGCTTGGCCAATTCCCACGATTTCTTAGCCTCATTCCCTCTTACACTGCTTTTGCCTGATATGGTCCCTTTTCCACTGCCAGGGCTACTCGCTTTCTTATTTTCCTTGTATCCTATAATATCTTCTCCTGCCTGATCTTCTTTTTTTGTGACTAGATCCACAATCTTCATGATAGTTTTGTATTTGCGATCGGAGAGGTTGACTTGAAGTAATGGTAATTTGCCAGAAACGCGGATACGAGCAACATTAGGGGCGGAAGGTAGAATAGAGAGTTCCACAAGGAAATTGATGTTGATGCGGTCGATTACATGGAGGTCGTATGTAGTGCTTACGTTACGAATTTGAGCTAGGCAACTTTCAGCAGAGTGTCCTACGAGAAGCTATATTTGTATTAGGGAAGACGTGATGAGATATTGTGGAAGACGAAAAGTGCACATGAAAACACGTATCCCCATCCAATAAATACCTGAGTAGATGATAGCTCCACAGAAAATCTATCATACATTAAAGTTTCTAAATCCTTATCACTATACGTTTCTACCGTCTTCGACTTGATCTCCGCAATGACTTCCTTTGGTACCAAATTACTCACAACGCTAATACGACCAGCATCCAACACAATAACTTCGGCATCTTTCCTGATACAGCTCTCCGGTATAATCACAATTGGTGCATTCATATCAATCTCCACATCCATCGTCTTGTGATCTTCGAAAGCATACCCGAAAGCAGATCCTAACGTGGCGCGTGTTTGAGCTTTAATCCCTTCAAACCTATCTCCCGCAGCTTCGATCAACACAGCGATAGATTCCATTTGCTGTTCTGGTGGTTTGAAAAAGTCTTGGACGGCTTCGATAGCGTTTTTATTGTATATGATCTCGAGATGCTTCATTTTTAGGGAGAAGGCATTATCAGCACGGTTGTCGATTGGTTTGGATTCGAACATCAGTTGAAAGAAAGGGTTTTCGGTAACATGGCCTTCTTCAGGTTTGATGAGGTGCTCCGTAATCACACTAGTCGCCTGTGCTTCTTCTATGGCTTTTCCGGCTCGGAGGTCCTCTTTAACTCGGACTATCTGTGGATACAAGGTACCCTCTGTTGACCCATCGTACACAGCTAGACTGCCCAGAGCGGTTTCGAGCGCAAATGACGTAGGTCTCTGCAGAAATTCAGTTGTAACTGTATCAAACACCAACGATAGAATGGTGTGGTTTTTTCCATGCGGATTTTTCTTTAATGCGAAAGAGCCTATTTTCAGTATAGTGCTAAATTGCAATTGAATCGAATCCTTGGGTACTTCAACTGCATCTGTTACCGCAGCTGTTTCATCATATTCAATAGCATCATACAGTTCTTTCCTTTGTTCGTCGGTCAATATAGTCTCGGTATCATCAGATGATGAACCACCGCCAGGCCACCAACCACTCAGCCATCCAGAACGACCGCGTTGATGTTGTTTTTCTATTTCTCGTTTCTTTGCTATGAGTGCCTTTTCTTTACGTAGTCTACTCCTGCCTATTGATCTGTAAAATCTAATATCTTCGTAAGAGAGCTTTGTTTCCAGCTGTTCTAACTTTGCAGTATCCTCCGGAGTGAGGCGGTCAAGCATTTTTTTGGTATAGAGATCGAGATATTCTATTCTTTGTAGTCGACGTTCTGCAAGATAAGCCCAGGTGAATTTGCGATTACGCTCTTGTATCTCTGACAGAATGCATTTGCCTGCGAATTGAAACCAAGCTCTCGGATTTGATTTTGGCGTTACTTCTTTTGGAGGCCTGAATTTACGATACTTTTGACAAGGCAAATATTAGACGTAATGTTGAAATAAATGTTATAGTGACACTTAACTTTTTTTATAACGATTATAACACATAGTTAAAACTGTTGACTCACTTGCTGTTGTCTCAGAAAGAAATGAAATAAATCAACCATCAACAACGCATCTCTGTACTGTTCATCATCTAGGACAAAGCCTAATTCGTCAAATAAGAGAGTAGAATTTATCTTTGGGACGTTTGGATCATGCCTTTTGCTCATGGTAAGCTATAGAGAAACATTAGGTTAAGATAAAGCACAATTAAAGGGTACGTGGTCACACTAGACATAGAGATAGCGTTATTTGAAGATACGTACACGTCCTTTTCCTGAGACTGGTTTCAGAATATACTGGTGGTCAATAGTATTACTCTCGGATGCAATCTTAGTTGCAATAAACATCAAGTCAATATAATCGTATAAAGAGACAATTCTACACATGCAGTGATATCATACCAGACTATTAAATAATTTAATTGCTTCGTTTGAAGCATGTCCGGCTAACGATTTTGTATCTGTATTCCAATATACAGCCAAAGAGCCTAAAGTGAGCAACTACACGATATCAAAATGTCGTTAGTAACAAATACTCATAGTACATCTACAACCGGTATATGAACTGTACCTTGCGAATATCCTTTGTCTCACCCTCAATGAATGTAGGCACCCAATTTTCGTCTGCAGACACGACAGATAATTCTGAAAGAGTCACTCCGATTGCGAATGGATGCTATCCATGTGAGTTAATAATAAGTCAACAATAGCCAGTAAGGAATGAAAGCATCTCAGTTAACCATGTAATCTTAAGTACTGTACGTGTCTGTACTTACGCCTGGATCACTAAGCCTATCTTCATATCTGATATGTATATTCTTGATCGATATTTGTAGATTGTCGACGACCTTAGTGACGAGTGAATTAACAAACGATTGATTCTTATCATCGTCACCGTCTAAAGAAGAGCATCTTTGCATTAAAATACATTCTACGGTGGATTTTTTTACAAATGCCAGAGTAATCGTGTTGTTACCTTCAGACGGCTTTGCGGCTAATAGTTCGGCATTAGCTAACTTTTCTTGTTTCAATTGCTGAGCACGCCGTTCCTCCTCTACTGGATCATACTAATGGCCAATAGAACAAACAAACGCGTAGATCACATCAGCAGCGAATATCAATCGCACGAATAATGGTGATGATAATTATACTGGCATACACTGTATCATCATCATCATCATCATTCACTATGAAGACATATCATAGCATTTACTATTATTGTCATGTTGCAGCAATTGTCAGACCTCAGATTCAGCCTTAGGCACAGCTAATAAATAGACGTCTTTAACTATAGCTCTGACTGGTTTATTCCTTAGATTGGCCCATGGGATATTCAATGTCAATTCACCAAGATAACCTATGACAACATAATTATTCATCCAGAGTTAAAGGCTGTAACACTAAGAAGACTAATAAGAGTGAGGTGCCACTAGGTTTTGTATATTTATTACGTAAATTTCAAATTCTACGTCTTTGCTGTTTAATGGACAAAATATCACCTTCCAATACATCAACAGGCAGATCAAACTTATCCAAAGCCTCCTTCTTTAGTTGCAAATTCTTCAATACGACATCACCTGTTCAGCACCATAACCAGAATTAGACGGTACGAAAAGACCAACACAAGAAACCTCCTCATTCGCTTTCCCCTTCTCCATGCAACATACCAGACCATATAGCAATATTCAATTGGTTATTCTCCAAGTTAGATACATAAGCCCCCAAAACCCTGTTCAACACATTCGCGACGAGTGACTCAAGCATATTGATGCTATTATCGTTCGCGATAGTAGAACGAAGTCCTATACTTTTTCAAGATATCCATCTAAATCACAAAAATTGCGGTGATGTCATTACTGATTGTGATGACGATTATTAAATCAATAGGGCGCATTCAAAACGCCACATGGGATCCAAAAACTTGGAATGGAATAACACTAAATGTGTCTATTTTGGACTCCAGGGGGGTCATAGCATTCATTATTATTATCTGAATTAGTTATCCATTACAGCCAAACGACTGGTCCTTGCAATGAGATTTGTATTTCTGACTTTTGTAGCTGTCGATCAGGGTCTGGATGTGGTGTGCAGATCAGAGAGAGATGTTCGTACAGTCAGGGATAGTATGTAGCGAAGAGTCGAGGTTGTGATTCGCGCAAGTGGACATGAAGAGATAACATGCAGATTGTTATGCAGGCATTCTTCGGTATGATGGCGTTTTACATGAGAAAAGGTCATGTTTGAAGTGTTACAACGCTCGTCAAGTATTATTATAGATGTTCACAGTAGAGTTAAAACTTTCCCAATAATTTATTAACAGGCGTACTAGTCACAAGAATCGGATAATCTCTACTCCGGTGAATAAAACTTACTGAGTATATACAATGTTATCCACACCAGGATGTATTTTAACTTCGTCATATTAATACGCGAGTCGTCACAATAAGTCCCCGAAGCTTCCGTAAATGGCTCTATTGTTTCGATCTATAGAAGTAAACTTGTAATGTCGACTTGAATCTTTACTTGGGTTGCAATATGATGGCGCTGCTGTCTGTATACAAGGTCAAAAATGATAACTATCGCATAAAAATATTATCATGACAGCGCGTGAGCGATAGTCTCTACAAGATCCAAAATTCCTACGAGAATAGAATGGTCAAAAACCATCAATATAATAAAAATAGTATACACGTAATAGTAATAACGATGCTGTTTATAATTAGATGTATCTTTTGTCGATCAACTCACGTTAACCAGTCAGTCGCGATCTCAAGCACCTCTATCTCTACAACGACAACTACAGGTAACACACTTTGTTTGATAATATCTTATTGTATAATGTGCTCACAACTTTGTTTACTTTTAGAATGGCAGAACCAACATTGTACGAAGAAACCGTCTTACAGTGTCTCCGAAGCGGAGGAATACGGACTAAATATTATGGTGAAGGGTGAGTAATACTACCGAGTATTCATCGACTCAAGAAGGTTTACGCTTCCAAGTATAATTCAAGGAAATCGGGATGTTGAGCCTACTTTGCCGATAGACCATTGATTTGTGCGCGCTTCGTGGCACAGTTACCCCAGTCCCTGGAGTACTTGTATTGACTACGATATTTGCACGGTTTTTAGTAACTACGGTGGAGTTGACTTTGTCGTGACTTACGAAAGAGTGCTGTTTATTGTCCTTTGTAACAACGATGAACTACCAGCTGGTAATATTAATCACGTATTAGTACGAATAATGCTGTTAATATACAACGATAACTAAATTGTCATTTGTTGCTTAAAGAGCCCAGCTTTGTTGACAGAATGAGGAGGGATCTCACCGAATACCCCAGGAATACTGTGGGGGTTCTGGTGGCTCCTCAGTTCAGTGAAAGAGCAAAGCGTCTGGCTTCGTCGTCCCCCTGCAACATTATATTGACGGAAGCCACTGACATTGCTTCGAACATAATTCAATACGTTGAAAGTCTAGAACAGAATCAAGAATCTGACTCGGAAGAAGATGAACAATTCAATTTTTTTGTCATAACAGGGCAACCGGAACCCTTCCAACGTCAATCGACACAAAAGAAATCCGAACTAGAATGGTTGTATAAGGCTGTAATCGTAATAGCGATTCTTTGTTTACTTTCATCATTGCAGTTACTGCTAATTGTTTATAAATCAAATTTATTCAAAACTAATACATCCTCTTAAATTAGTTTTAATCAAAATATATATCAGACTATACTTCTGAAGGTTTCAACCCCTGACATTCTAATAATACTTGTCATTCTCGTAAAGCTAAGATGCACAATAAAGAGAAAACTGATCTGAATTGCTAACATAAGAAGGGTCTCTATCATCATGTGTATCGAATGGGCGTAACTAAATTATGCAACGAGCTAAGCCCGATTTTTGAATAAGTATACTGATCTAGCAAACGAGACAATTGTGTGATCTCATCCTGATACCACTTTCTCTTCTTTTTTATATGGACATTCCAAAGTCTATTATATGTACTGATACGTCATCCTGATTACTAATTAAAATGTTCTCGGCTCTAACATCATCATGAAGAATACCATGCTTGTGAATTTCCCTTAATATTAATGCCTCCAAAGCAATTACTTAACGGAATACCAGCAACAGTCAAACCAATGACAAAGCTCATCCCACCCCCATAATATCCATAGCATACCAACTTTGGAATTGAATATCAGCAAGATCATTAGTGGAAAATTAGATTATATCCACTTAGTCTAGGTTATACCCCCCAGTTAGGTTATACACCCTCAGTTAGGCTATTGACTCGGACCGCTTAGTTGCGACAACTTTTGCAGACAAGCTTTAACTTGCAATTAACAGACAATAAGACAATTTTTTATGCATTTTTGTGTCATTCAAGACTGAATGTTCAAAGATTTTAGAATTTGGCACCATAAACACATGACATAAATCATGTGAAATTGTGCAATCACCAATAAGAACGCGTTTCCTCGCGATATCAAAAAAAATTTAATTTTTTTTTTTAAAAAAATCCTTGCGATATGCTAAGCGTTATGCTCAATGAAATTGTGATTATACTTGGAGAGGGTTACAAAAGATAGTACCAGAGGCGTTGGATCTAATTCTTTAAATTCGTGGTTATGCGCAAAAGTCTCCGAGGACTTGATCCCAAGAATTTTTTAACAATACCACTTGATCACATGATCTATATTAACAAAATTGTCGCGACTAACACTAACGCAAAAGTTTCGTTTTTGATACACCAGGAGTTCCGTTTTTGATAGATCGGCAAGCACCCCAAATTTTGTTTCCTTTTTTGATACATCTGCGGCAAAAGTCACGTTTTCGACAATACCCAGAAAATTTCCAGTCATGTGTGTAACAC